TGGGCAGCATACAGGGGGGAGAGGCAGACTGTGTGGGCATTAGATGGGCAGCATACAGGGGGGAGAGGCAGACTGTGTGGGCATTAGATGGGCAGCATACAGGGGGGAAATGCAGACTGTGTGGGTAATAGATTGGCAGCATACGGGGGGAGAGGCAGACTGTGTGGGTAATAGATGGGCAGCATACAGGAGGGAGAGGCAGACTGTGTGGGTAATAGATGGGCAGCATACATGGGGGAGAGGCAGACTGTGTGGGTAATAGATGGGCAGCATACAGGAGGGAGAGGCAGACCGTGTGGGCATTAGATGGGCAGCATACAGGAGGGAAGGGACAGACTGTGTGGGTAATAGATTGGCAGCATACAGGGGGGAGAGGCAGACGGTGTGGGTAATAGATGGGCAGCATACAGTGGGGAGAGGCAGACTGTGTGGGCATTAGATGGGCAGCATACAGGAGGGGAGAGGCAGACTGTCACTAAGATTACAAGGAATGTAATAAAGACATTAGATGGGCAGCATACAGGAGGGGAGAGGCAGACTGTGTGAGTAATAGATGGGCAGCATACAGGGGGAAGAGGCAGACTGTGTGGGCATTAGATGGGTAGCATACAGGGGGGAGAGGCAGACTGTGTGGGCATTAGATGGGCAGCATACAGGGGGGAGAGGCAGACTGTGTGGGCATTAGATGGGCAGCATACAGGAGGGAGAGGCAGACGGTGTGGGCATTAGATGGGCAGCATACAGGGGGAGAGGCAGACTGTGTGGGCATTAGATGGGCAGCATACAGGGGGAGAGGCAGACGGTGTGGGCATTAGATGGGCAGCATACAGGGGGAGAGGCAGACTGTAGATGGCCTTATCTGCCATGTAGCTAACACAGTGTTTCCAGTTACCTCCTCCGTGTTAAATACTGCAAACTCGAGATCTGTCATTGACACTCTACACTGACCTCAGACAGAGACAGAGAAGCTCAGGTAAAGCTTCTCGCAGGGAATTTCTCAATGTTCTCTACATGCCCTCTGAGCAGTGACAATATACCATACCGTACCAATGGGATGAATTATATAAATAACTATCCACAAAATAACTAAATCTGCATTGACTATAAAACGTAACATTTAAATGTAAGATATCGGTAACAGGATGTTTATCAAAGTATCACTGACACTTGGTAAACTTTTCATGAATTTGTAGCACAATAAATCTGCCAGATTAGTTTGTATCTGTTCCTTTAATTGCTCCCTAACCATCATTACTGAACATGTGCCGTTTTTTTAAGCAGCACAAGGAATATATGATTATATCCACCGCTTATTCTGACAGAAAGTGGCTGAATTTCTTTCAAGCACTCTAAATTTTGACAACTGCTGCAAATTACTACAAAGAAAGCCATCACTTTTTTAGATGATATAGTCACCTTAACAACTTTAGCTTAATGAAGCAGTTTTGGTGTATAGAACATGCCCCTGCAGCCTCACTGCTCAATCCTCTGCCATTTAGGAGTTCAATCCCTTTGTTTATGAACCCTAGTCACACCTCCCTGCATGTGACTTGCACAGCCTTCCATAAACACTTCCTGTAAAGAGAGCCCTATTTAGGCTTTCTTTATTGCAAGTTCTGTTTAATTAAGATTTTCTTATCCCCCTGCTATGTTAATAGCTTGCTAGACCCTGCAAGAGCCTCCTGTATGTGATTAAAGTTCAATTTAGAGATTGAGATACAATTATTTAAGGCAAATTACATCTGTTTGAAAGTGAAACCAGTTTTTTTTTTCCATGCAGGCTCTGTCAATCATAGCCAGGGGAGGTGTGGCTAGGGCTGCATAAACAGAAACAAAGTGATTTAACTCCTAAATGACAGTGAATTGAGCAGTGAAATTGCAGGGGAATGATCTATACACTAAAACTGCTTTATTTAGCTAAAGTAATTTAGGTGACTATAGTGTTCCTTTAATGAATACGATGAAAAGAACACTTTGTTTAATAAAGTATCGCAGTTTCGTTATTTAACAGACATTCTGCGATGCTCACTCAGAACACAGGATGTGCGAGTTAGCATTCTGGGAATGAAGAGACGCTCTGCCATATTTACTGACAATCTACTTGCGCTGTACCTGCTTTCTGCTTCATGGAATAAGCCAGGCAGTCTGTGTGCAGTTGATCTCTTTTTATCCCAACACGCAGAGCGGATGACTCATACGCTGCAGCACAAAACAGATATAATGTCATGCCATTTCTCCACGTGGACCAAGAACAAGGGACACGTGACATGAACAGCAGAAAAGCAACGATTGGTTGACCCTTTAATAGATTGCTGAAGGCCTTCCACAGCACATTGCACGGAATCAGACAGACATCGAACAATTGCCAATTATTTCCATTCAATGCTTACGAAACCTGTGCGTGCCTTTCTTTAGACTATTACTCCCTACTAATAACCTACATAGTGGTTATGGTACCAGGAGTGATGCCGAGAGTGCCAACTTTCAGTTATTGAGCCATTTGACAAACTCTAATAATATACCCAAGGTCCAACAATCCAATTTGCTACCAGCCAGTAGAAATTCACCCCTGGTAAGTGCGTATGGGCCATCCAGGCTTGCAGTGGCTAGTAACTTTTTAAAGCCTGGCTAGCTGCGCTGACATTGTAAGCCTTGAATTAGAGCCGCAGACTAGGAACATGCATTGTCAAAGGGAATGAAGTGCACTTCTGTATAAATAATTTCACTTTGATTAAGGTTTCTATAGCATCTGCTGGTTACCATGGAGATAATTTCTAGTAATAATTTGCGAGACATTCTCTGTATATTACAATATCCCCACAGGAGCCAATAAAACATCATATAAATCTAATCAGAGGGGCCAAGGACTGCTGGTGTCTATATGAAGGTCTATAGAATTTCTGTTTATTTGTTAATAATGGTGTTTATAAAAGACCTTGTTTAGTAGGTAAGCTATTCAAACATGATGAATTAAACACAGGATTTGAGTAAAAACACAGAATGTGGACTTTCTTTTCAGTAAACTTTCTCGGACTCTTGATATTGGAAATGTTTTAAAGTGACGCTTAACCAGACTGCCTGGGGAGCCGATAAAGATCAGCTGTATTGTAGATTAATATATAAATATTCATATAGCGTCATATAGCGTCAACATATTCTACAGCGCAGTACAATAGTAAACCAGACAAACATTTCCTTCTAACAAATCATGTTTCACACAGTAGGAGAAGACGGTGCTGCCCAAACAAACTTACAACCCAAAGGGATGAGGGACAAATACGCAAAGGGGAGTAAGGGAATCAAGTGATTTGAATGTACCAGAGGGTTGGAGTGGTGTTTGAGAGAAGGGAGCAATTAGAGGAATACCAATCCCCAAATCCATACCTATCCAGGCATGCTACTAGTTACAAATAAAAATAGTACACCATGAGTCCAACGCATCCCGTACAGGGACAGAACAAACACCCAATGCAAGTGCAGACACTGAGCGATGGAATTTACTTGCCTTTTGGAGACGTTGTCAGGCATTTTCCATCGCTGGATTCTGTTAGTCCCTGAATACAAGGACCACATACATCGGACCCACTGGGACAGTGTTCTCTCATCTGCAGAGTACAATCAATCGTTCGACAATGGTCACCTGGAAAACAAAAAGTTAGAAAAATGGTGAGATCCTGGTGGGCATCAGGGCTCAAGCTGGCACATCAATCACCAATAGTAGAATAGTCAATGTTCAGAAGAAAAAAGTTAGAACCCAATTTAGAGTTACGCAAAGCTCGCAATGAAGGCCAGTTTGGATGAAACGGAGCTATCCTGCCAGCAACCAATCAGCACCTGAGATTCTGATATCTGAACATCTCCCAGAATTACACTGTGCAGGTAATGGACAACAAAAATGCCTTGCTAGTTTTAAATCTAATCTTTTTATTAAATTAAGGGGAATTAATAATAAAATAAAAAAAAGTGACAAAGTTAAAAAGTATTTAAACACAGGCTTGTGATTGAAAAGGGGAAAACAAATATACAGGCACAGACAAACATACACCAAGAGCGGGTCAATGATTATAATGATTAATATTATTGGGACTTATCGATCTGCCTATTGATACATTTCCACCTACTTCTGGGTAATAACAATTCAACAAGCTCAGCTAACGAGCGCTCTTTCCACCCACGCCTGCGGCATTTCTTCTTCTTGTTGTTTTAGTGCGGGCACATTGCCGATACAATAAATTAGACCGACTCCTCAGCTAACATCTGTCTTGTTTCTATTTAAATGACGTGTACCTGTCAGCTTGGCGAAGATGCAAACACAAGAAGAGGTGCCCACAGCACTGGCAGTTGGACCGTTTCCAGGAGGGTTTTTTTAACCCCTTTCTTACAATTCACTGAGCACACTGGGTCAGAAACTCCATGATCAAAAGAGTAAACATTCTTAAACAATCGCATAAAAGGGGATTCATGTCCTATTCCCCTCCTTGAGACATTCTGCAGAATGCGATCTTTACAGTATTTTTTATGCAGCTACATTTTAAAAAAAGGTAAAGCTAAAATGCTAGGCAATCTGATATAATCAAATGTATTCACAGATGGACTGGAGAACTAGCCTCTGAAGCTCTCTCGTGCAAATATTTTTCTAGAGATTATGAATTCTTATTTTAACAAACTCCTTTTCTTTTCTGCACATTAATGTGACCAGATGCCCTGTTTGTTAAACTCAGCTACCTTGTACAAACTGTGTTTCATATTGCTTCTGACATTTCTCCTTTGTACACCAATGTACAGAACTGTTTGGATTGCAGAATCCATTATATGGGGATTGTTGGCTTAGTTTACACCAATACAAAGGAGGCATGTTTGCATCAGTCTATATGCATGTTGTCAAAGTACGCTGCCTTCTCCTATATATATATAAAAATCAGACTTATGGAAACGTCAAAAGAAAATAATGGAAGGCAGGGAATTGCATACCTGGCTCAGAACAAAGAACTAAAATATAAAATATTGGAACAGAAAAAACAAAATAGACCCAAAAACTTGTATTCAGGGGTTCCAGGGGAGTATAGCACAGTAAAACCCAATGCATTGACCATCCAATAGTAATTATAAAACATCACATCACCAATGAAAAGATTAAGAGGCTAAAGATATGCAGTGGAGACGTGGCAAAGAGACTCATTCATCCAACACCACCGAGACACTCCAAATGATCTGCTAATATGGGCATTTTAGATGCAGTTAATCGTATTACAGCGCACGTATTCCGAAGGCAGCAACACACACAGAGACACAAGCCGTGACGTGGCGTTGGATCCATAATTACGCCAACTTCCAGCAGCATGTAATAAACAAGTTAGAAGAATTAAACAGGTCTCGACCTATCCACGTGCTGACTCCAGCGTTTAATTAGTCGTTCCAGTCACAAGGCAGACAAAGGGAGGCTGGCTTTGTACCTTGTAATGCAGTATGACCGAGCTCCGCGCAGCAATCTGGGAGTGGTTCAAGAGTAAGACCCTTTTGCAGGAATACCTGTACCCATGTGACACAGTATAGGGTTTTAGAGTAGGTATTGTTCACAGGCCGTATTTGTCAACTTTAGTAACCAATCACCATACTATGCTCAATGCAAAATGGCTCAAGTTTACTGGCCCAAAATTGCCAAACTTTAAGAAAAAATGAAAATACTGTAATAATGAAATCCTAAGACCCCTTTAGATATTATAAAATTATCTCCTGAACTAATGTACAGAATTTATTAAAACTTTGAATTGCAGAAAATAAATAGGTTGTGGCTCGGCGGCGATGTCCTGAAAAGCAGAATGTAAGACTCGGAAATGTGGTCTCCCACCAGGTGAGCGGTACAATATTGGGAATAGGTCATTCTGCAATACAATTCTAAGACAGGAACGGTCCACTGGTTTCCATGGTGACTGCTCCACATTTAACACTTTGTGACCGACAGACAGGGTCCACATTCAATGACAAAGAATGCAATGTGAATTCAAAGCAAATTTTTAATTTAAGGTCAAAATATACAAATTGGAAAAAAAAATGTCCAGGGTTTTACATTGGCTCTTTTGCCTAAAATATTTAATTCACAAAGATTTCCGTGCAATTCACACGACCCTATGGGTCAGATTAATTGGGAAGGGAAAACACTCTCAGATTTTATCCCAGCCACAATTAGAAGAATAGCCATATTGAAATGAGTTTGTGTAAATCCAACATATCTTGGCTAAACATATAGCAGCTGCCTAGAATAACCCCTTCTAGGGCTTTTAATGTGGAGCTAGATATTCCAGCACTTCAGAGGTTACTTGGATAACCGAGTGTGTATTGATTCTGCATATTGAATAGATTTCACAGAGGAGCAAAGCAATTCTGGATTGCTGTAATCAGACGATCCAGTTTGAAGGCTGTAGCTATGACACAGACAATATGGAGGTCACACAGCGTGTAATACTTGGAAGGAATCTCACTGGCGGAGGACCTTGAGTGAGAATGCATCCCAGCGGCCATGAGCAAATCACGTAGATGGCCAGCACAGATATCATATAGTGCCAGAGATACAGCCAGATGTACAATAACTGTGGGGGGACCTGCGTGCTTGTAGCGGGTTATTTTAGATTTCTCTGTGTAGTTTTGGTCTATAACAGAGCCGTATTATGGGCTGCTTCTAGAACCCCTGAAGAACAAACTAATAGATGTGTGATCAGAGGAATTATCTACCAAGCAGCCATCCTGCAATAAATTTAATCCAGTGTATAGAACCCGAATCACATAAACAGGAGACGCTAAAATAAAAATTAAACAAACAAATAATAAGTCACAAAATGCCAGTCGTATCCTCCTAGCAAAACTAATCTATTCCAGATAGAAGTAAAGGATAAAGCGATTATATATATTGCAAGTAATAAAACTAGGTTTCTGAATAATCAGATCAAATGTATCCAACAGTAAACATAACAATAAATATGAATATATGCAGTGGGAGTAGTTAGTAATTAAAGCTGAGAGTCCATAGGAAAGCAGACAGTGTAACCGTATTATGCCCAGGATATGAACAGCGCAAACCGCTCCGCAAGTAACGCATTTAATACCCACACACACAAACTACAAATGACCGTAAAATGACACGCAACCAGAGTCTGGTCAAGTTGTGTATAGAGCATTTGTACTTGGTCAAGGTGACCTTCTCCAACAAAACTATTAAGTCACTTAACATGTTATTAGAGCTAATTTGGGATTTAAAGGTAACTGAGAGACCTTTAATGGGATGAGAGGGGACGTACACCTTTTGTCACTTTTGAGAGCTGAGCCGAATGCAATGGACTCCCTGATAATTACACGCTAAGATAATTACAGAGTATCACTGGGGAAAGGACAGCCACATGTCACTGTAACGCAACATGTAAATAAGTCAGGGGTCAAAAATATGTGGAATGCCAAGTCAGTATCCTAAGGAAGCCATAGGATCACCCATTACATTATAATCACATACAGACATCTTTTTTTCACTTTCTGCAGATATTCCGGATATTTACATTCCTAAGATATATCCGCATTCTTTATAAATAGCAGCACGCTGGTCATCGGAGAATTTATAGATTTATCACACCTACTGTATGTTTTAAAACTGATAGGAGTCTTACGAGAATAATGTTACACCTGTCGGAAGGAGAGATGAGATGACAGATATGATATTCAAACTTTTATCCCTTCCAGAAGAATAAACGGAGATAGATTTCTCTGTACATAGCGTCCTGTAGCAACAATGCTACTGAAGAATCCTGTCCTTCTTTGTTTCACATTCTAGCGTTACGACTTGGATTTAATGAAATGGCATGTGTTACATTGCAGAATAAGAGCATTACTTTTTCAATGTTCAGTCATGAATGAGTCAATTACTAATCAAAAGTGGATGGGTTGAGTTATATTTCCATTCAAATCATACAACACCAACATTCAATGTAAAGTGTCTGAAAATCGAACAGCTGATCAATTATATAACATAATCTGCCATAACGTACTCCTTGGACTTAGCTAGATTTCTCGTTTGGAAGGATGTGCAGTGCATTACAGTATTACACAGTATCTGGGACAGGACAGAATGAGATGCTGCAAGCTGATCGGTCCCCTGAGCAGATTAGGCAGAATCTAATGCCTCGCTGGGCATTCTCCCAGCCAAGTCAGGAAAACACATGAGGCACAGCCATCTCTCCACCCAAAGGGGGCGCCATCTCACCTCCATGGATACAATATTCAATAGCAAGTCATCTATCAAGGACGTTTGGGGATTTTACCTGATGTTTGTGTAAGAGAAAAGTGGATCAATACTACCATGGCAACTGCTGGAAGAATTAACCTTTTAAAGGCCGGAAGGAAATGAAACATAATAAAAGAACACTCACAGAGGCTCACTGTAAAGTATCAGCAGAAAACAGGGAGCGGGCCTTGGGAAATTCAAGGTTTCTAAGATTTTATTGTTCTGCCCAGCTCCCTGATATGGAGAATTAAAGGGACACTATAGTTACCAGAACCTACTGCTTAATGCAGTCATTCTGGTGTCTATAGCCTGTCCCTGCAGGCTTTTTAATCTTAACACTGCCTTTTCAAAACAAATTGCTGCCTAGGAGCACC